GATCCCCACGTAAGCATCGCTCTCCGTCGGCTCCTCTTTCTTCACCGAGATCGAGTTGTCTGCGATCTTTTGCAACGGTCCGATGAGAGGCTTAAAGTGTGCGTCCAACTCAATGTCTTTCACGATCTTACCGGTCTTCAAAGCGCGAAGTTTCTTACGAATCGAATCACTCGTTTTCGCAATTTCCTTCACAATCTTCTCGCGCTCGCGAATATTCTCGCTCCTGTCGATCGTGGCCATCGCGGGAAAAAGCAGACTGTTAATCTCACGTTTTAACTCGACGAGGTATCGACATCGACTGACCGCTTTTGCGGTATCGCGAACACGTTAAATTCTTTTCTGTATCGGCCGTTCGAAAGCGCACTGTCCTTGTCTATCACTACGAACCCGTACTTGCGTTGCCAACAATCGTGGCACAACGCACAAAATTCATCGTACGACATGTCGGTATTTACGTGATCGTTGTACACATGTTTCAGATTGGTACCATCCTGTTTGAACAGGATCAGTAGGTTCGCGTTGTCACGTATCAGGGCTGCTATTCTCGAACTCGCTCGCAGCAGAAGCGTATGCGCATGTGCCCATTTTCGAGTACTCGAATTGAAAAGTATATTCTCGAGAAGAATATGCGTATACTAAACGGAGCGAATACTTAAGTTTTTACTCGCAATGCAACGAGTGGGTAAAGGTATTCGCTTCCTACATTGCGAATACGTTTCTTGTAGAAAGTTGGTGGTATAATCTTAACCTTACACGTGAAAAACAATATTTATGTCGTTATCTCAATAATGAACTTTATTAATCAAGCGTTTATTTTAAATGAACTGGAGGCTGCCGAATTTGCAGCAGATAGAAATCCTCGTATAATATACGAAGAACGTGACCCTTTCCAATTAAGCGAAAAGAAATTTGTAAAAATATATCGGCTGTCAAAAAGATTAGCTACTGAATTTATAGAAGACGTGCAGCCTTTTATTATACAAGGAACAAGGGTATCTGCTTTGAGCACAAATAGAAAAGTAAGAAACATATGCCTTGAAATTTACAACATAACTATATTACCAATTAATTAATTTCTTATTTCTTTGATTGTACGTTATGTTTTGTGTTGCAAAGGTACTTACTGCATTACGTTATTTTGCGAGTGGCAGTTACCAATTACATATTGGCCAAAATTTAAATAGTGCTGTAAGCCAGTCTTCGGTGTCACGAAGTATACACGAAATTATTAATGCCGCAAACCGTCCAGAAGTTATGGACAAATGGATTAAATTTCCTCGTACTGTGGTAGAACTACATCATTTGCGTAACGAGTATGTTTTATATAATAGTTATTAGTAAATTTGTATGTCATTATTATATATTTATATTATATCTGCAATATTATTATTAAATATTAAATATGTTATATTTATTAATATATAAAATGAAATGAAGTGGCATAAATCAAATTGTCTCAATATTTTTGTACAAATTTTACCACAGTCACAGATTCCCAGGGGTCTACGGATGTATCGATTGCACACACGTTGCAATATACCCGCCAAAGATTAATGACCCGCTTTACCCAGAACATGCATACGTTAATCGTAAAGGATATCATTCGATCAATGTACAATTGGTAAACTAACTGTACATACATGCTAAAATTGTTGTCTAGTAACTTTTGATTTTTATGTATTCTTTCAATGAATAATAATTAATATTTTGTTTTTCAGATATGCGATCACAGATTGAAAATCCTGAACATCAATGCACGATTTCCTGGCAGCACGCATGACGTGTATATTTGGAATAACTGTAATGCTAGGCAAGCAGCGGAACAGATCTATAGAAGATTTGGGAGAAATACTTTCTGTTTACTAGGTACTCTCATATTTCATGTGGTCTATTGTGAACAGTATTCATATGCATGAATTGCAGAATTATTAGTACTATGATTTTTCTATTTATTTATGTAGGAAACCAAAAAATGAAAAATATAAGTCACTTATATTTGGTTCAAAATTATAATAATTATTGATTTTATTTGCAGGTGATTCCGGATACCCTTTGCGCCCATGGTTATTAACGCCTATTGCTAACGCACAGCCAATGAGTGCAGAGGCTCGGTATAATGAACGACAAATGGGCTGTCGTTCTTTAATCGAACAGTGCAACGGCGTTTTGAAAATGAGGTTCCGCTGTTGTTTAAAACATCGAGTTTTACACTATGCTCCTGATGTAGCGTCTAAAATTATTAATACCTGTGCCATTTTGCACAACATTTGTATTACAAATAACATGCCCGATCCTCAGCCATTAGAAGGAGACGACGAACTAGATTTTGGCATGTACGAAGAAGATGCTAATGAAGTAGTTGAGGAAATTAAGAATGCTCGTAGAGTGAATGAAGAGTTAGCAGCAGGACGACTACTGCAAACGCGAATTATTAGAAATTATTTTAATTAAAACAATGCAGTAGTAGGCTTAAAAATAACTGCAGTTAAGTTTACTGTAAGAAATAATTTTATTTACAAAGCTTATGTTCTAAGATGTACATTTCATTACACAAGTGCTATTTATCAATTTTTGCTTATAAATGTGTAATATTTTTTATGTAGACATGTAGAGAAACAAAATTTAATATATTTACTAAAAGAAAACTAAGTGAACTTAGATATTAAGAAAGTTTTATCTTAATTCCCAGGTAGCAAACACACGTTATTTCACGTCAGAATGATATCACTGTGACGTCAAATGACGTTATTTTGATGTCAAATAACGTGCGTTTGTCACCTGGTTAAGTACCTTTTTAAAATAAAAATGTATTTTGAGAATTACAAAAAACTCTTCTCCTGAGTATACAAGTATGATCTGGTATGTATTGTTTATCACATTGTATTATCACATCTCAGTTTTACATACGAGTATCAAAACATGGTAACTTTTTTCGGGTGCTTTCCGGCAACCGTTTCCTTACAAACAATGTGATACTTTATTATTGCAAGAGACCACACTAAATTCTTACTCTTTAACGACAATTAATTGCACACATACAAAGGCTGTACGTATTGTTACTTAAACACTTTAGTTTTATGCAATAGTATCACAACTAAACCTATTTTTGGTACTTTTCTAATAATATCCTTTGGTAATAAACTATGTTATTTAATTGTACACTGCAATCGAGGACGCACAATGTATACTCTTTAACAGTGGTTATTTGGACACACATAAAACAACTGTAATCGCAGTTAATAACCACAACATAAACGTTTATGAAAATATTCTAACAAATTAAATTAAAAGTAGTACTAGCTGCAATAACTTATTATAAGAAGAGTTTTCCTTGTATAACATACATATGCCAAGCTAACAAAGAAGTCAATGTTAATTTAAGACATTTGGCATCTTTCTGCGGCCGAGGCAATGCGTTCCTTAGCCTCTGCACATCTAGCTATATATTCGAGTTTTTGTTTATAATACTCTTGTTTTAGTTTATAATCTTTATTAGCAATATCAACTAGGTTATCAGAAGCTTCTTTAGTCTGTTCTAATTTCCGAATTGCAAAAGGCTTTTTACCTTGTGTTTTAGTACATTTAGCCGTACTGTGGCCCCTGGTACCATTTACAACAGCATCACTTTCAATATTATTGTCTTTCTTTTTTCCCATCGCATCGAATGTGTTCTCTTTATTATCGTTTATGTCTGCTAACATTGATTTTTTCACGGTGTCATAGTTCTCTTCAAGGAATTCTATGTCGTTGTCAAATGCCATTGTTTTTAGGGTTGTACTGTCCGTATCAAAATATTCCACTTCCTTGATAATTACATCATCATCCTATACATATGTTCCACAATATTTATTCATACACACATATCTACATATAGTTATGGTTTTACACTTCATATATATTACAGTGTACATAATACCTCTTCGTTAAGCTGCATTTCAGTAGTTGACTCTCGTGAAGTAGAATGTCCATCCGTTAGATTTTTGGGGATCAATGACATGACTTTTTCTTCGTCCGGTGTAAGAACTGTTGTACATAGTTCTCCACCTCCTGTTTGGCGTCTATGAACGTTAATTTCTCCTTGCTTTGATTTGCTTCGGGACCGAAAATCTTGCCAACACTATATAAACAAATTGTTCCTAATCAAAAAGTATTATTTACATTACGTACTGTAATAATAATAATTTTAATTACCTTGCGCCATGCCTTCCAATTTTTTTCGGCACCGTTACAAGCATTTAAAATTTTAGCAATTTCTTGCCACAACTTTGCAGCATGATCGACCGTGAAAGTTTTCGAAAACTTGCCACTTACGAGATTCGGGTGATTCGTCATGTACTCTGTCAGCAAATTACGCTGTTCCTCGCTAATGTTGCCCGATCTCTTCTTCTCACTCTTTATCATTTTATTATTGCTCGAAACCGTGGAATAATTCATAACTGCGATGACAATAACAAAGCTGTAGAAAGCTCGATATATGTAGGTTAAGTAGTAGTTCCTGCGCTGTTGCCAAACCTAATTCGTGTTCGCAAGGAAGCGCATACGTTTGGTCCTTCCCACGTTCCGAGCGCTCGCATCGCCTATTCAAGAATTGCAACTAACGAGCGTGCTCGTATCTCATCCACTCGAAATGCTCGTATGCGCAAACTTGCGAGTGAGTTTGAGAATCGAGCCCCAGATGTTTAGGTATTCTCGCGTACGTTTGACAGAGATAGAAGCAGTCGACGCTCGAGTGCCTACCCATTGAGAAGTACTCTCTCACAGCATCTTGCTTATCGCATGCCACGTCATCGAAGACGAAAATTGAGTTTGGACGCGCATCGCTCGGCGGAATGACGTCACTGTTGTTGGAAAACGTAAAATAGCCAATCTCTTCTATCGACGTTAATACATTCTCCAAGTATCGATATTTCGGTTGCTGCAACGATTTCGAGTACACATACACGTTCTCGAAACGTACACCATGCGGACTTTCCAGCAAGCTTATCAGAACGTTGGTTTTACCGCAATTCGAGGGGCCGCAAATGATCGCGCGTATAGTAGTCGGTAGCATCGCACCGTGCCTGCGCTTCTCCGCGTTGCTCCCCATCGACCGTAACCTGTCGTCGCAATTCGTCACGCGAATCGTCAACGGTTGTCGCACGAATCTCATTTTTTTCAGACTGTCGACTGGAGCTTCCGGCCGAACGCCTATTTATAGGTGGGCGGAACCGCGAATCGCTCAGTTGCGAAGATGTTCGTCCTGCTGTCGAGACCTTCCGATATCCGCGATTTGAGTGTCGAACAGCTACAATTTGTGCCGAAACCTGTTCTGCTGCAAATGTGCTGTGATCACGTCCACTACGTGTGGGACAAGCTTCCGGAACATATAAAAACAGATTCAGAGGTTCAGACATATCGTCGCTGTTACGAGCATTACAATCAACCGTGGCAGCGAACGCGCATCGACGGTCCCGCGCCATTGATAAAGGATTGCTACGAATGCCAACGAAAATAGGCAAAGGTTTATTAAATCGCGCGATTAACGCACTTCCGATCGAATTGCATATCCCCGGCTATCAGTTTTGTGGTCCGGGCACTCATTTAAAAAAACGATTAGCAAGAGGTGATCAAGGTATTAATCCATTGGACACAGCGTGTCGTGAACACGACATAGCTTATTCTCACAGTAGCGAGCTCACCGAGAGACACGCGGCGGACAAGATACTCGCCGAGAGAGCGCTAGGACGCGTCGTCGCGAAAGACTCGACTCTCTCCGAGAAAGCTGCAGCTACCGCCGTCTGGGCGGCCATGAAGGCTAAACGGAAGCTCGGAATGGGTTTGAAAATAAAGGCAAAGGCGAAGGCGAAGACGCAGACGAAGATGAAGATGAAGAAGAGAGCGGATTCGAAAAAACGGATACTTCCGGCAGCGAAACGCGGTGGTATCTTGCCCATTCTACCGTTGTTGGGAGTTCTCGGTTCGTTAGTCGGTGGAGCGGCGGGGGTCGCGAAGGCTGTGAACGATAACAAAGTCGCGCGACGTCAGCTGGAAGAACTTAAACGACACAATCGCGCCATGGAAGGTCACGGACTTTATCTCGCTCCGTACAAACGCGGACGGGGAGTCTCGAGAAAAAAAAAAAAACGTCGAAGAGACGCTAAAAATTCCGAAAGGTGTAACTACCAACGTACAACTGCAACAACTTGCAAAGCGTATGCACATTCCATATTTTAGAGGTATTTTTATGCGTACTACCTTACCGATGGATGGAGTGCGTCGAAACGAGAGTGGCATCGTGAATTTGGATAACGCTGAGGGACCGGGTACTCACTGGGTGGCATACGCGAAGAGGGGAGATCGAGCCATATATTTTGACAGTTATGGCAATCTTCGACCGCCGAGAGAATTGGTGCTGTATCTAAAGAACAACGTGACGCAAATCGAATACAATCACACACCTTATCAACGATACGATCAGAGCAATTGTGGACAACTGTGTCTGCGCTTTCTACAGACGGTTGATGCTCAATTTAAAGCCTGGCGTTGCATTGTTTGAACTCAGTATTCATTCAAACATGTCACTGACATTTACGCTCACCGGCAAGAGTAGCATCCTCGCGGTAAGCTACTTTCCCACCGTGGATTTGAGCGACGGTGATTATGAGCTCGGTCTGACAGATTTCGAAACCTATTACACGATACCGAATGTAAATTCTTCGAACAATAAATTCTACTTTGACGACAAGGAGATTACCGTTCCCGAAGGATCATACGAACTGCGTGATATACACACGTATTTGAAACAATCAATTTTACAATTGGACCAATCCAATAATATTGCGAGAAAGAAACATGTCGGCGAAGATGAAGAATATCCGTTGAT